TGAAGTACATATTTGGGGGCTAATTTGAAGAAGATTAACTAGAAAATATTTTCTAATTGAAGATAACATATTTGAGGGCTAATTTGGGGGCTGCTATGGAGGCGATTAATTAGGAGATGTTGCCTAATTGAAGAAGGCAGATTTGGGGGCTTATTTGGAGGGAAAATAATTAAGAAAATAAGACAGATTTGGGAGGGAATTGGGGGATAGCTATTTGGGTAATTGTTGTTTATTGTTTACTTTAAGTAGTAGATTTTCCTAGGTTTAGGGGCCATCATGAATCCAAATATCCTCGTATCTGCCAACTTCAATCATAACTGGTCCACGACCAGATTGGAGATGAAGTTATGAATAGCCCAATTACCCACCAAGGCCACCACTTGCTACTCCTTGATCTGCCCCCTCACCTTCATGGTGTGATTTGGAGTAAATCCCGCAATTGGATTAAGGGACACTTCCGCCACATCCAAGTGTAAGTGCTTTCCCCTTTCTTTTGCTTCCTCCACCAGATCTCACTATCGGCCTCCTCATCACAAACCACAAGGACATGGAGTATGTGGTCCTTGCACTGATGTCATGGTGCATACTTCTCATCACAATGAAAGCACGGACCATTCGTTCTCTTATCCTGCATCTCTATCTTTGTGAGGTGCTTGAAATTGGCCCCAAGGAGAACTCCCCCACTCTTCTCCCTTGGTGCCTTACGCTAAAATGACACCGTCTGGGTCTTCGGGGCAAGTGAAGTCGATGTACTTCTGTAAGAGCCTCACGTGACTCCGCTCTTACTGATCCTCTCCATCTGTCTCCAATCATCCACTATCTGAGCTAGCTCCATCATCTCCTTCAACCCCCTCTGTCTCAGCAATCGGAGGTCCTCTCGTATGTCGGGCTTGAGCCCCTTCATAAAATTTTCTTTCAACACCGCCTCCGAAATTTCTCTCAACTGCCATGACAGCAACTCAAACCTCTTCCTGACAGTCATGTCTTGGGTTAAGGCAAGGAATTGCTCGTGTAGGTTTAATTCCTGGATGGCTCGAAAACGTTCCAACAAGCAATCCTTAAACTCCTCCCACTAATGGATTTGATATCTAGCCTCCCTCCATGAGAACTAGGTGAGGGCTTTCCCCTCCAAACATAATCATGCGGCTATAAGCTTCTACTCATTTCTCAATCCATTCACTGCATAATACCACTCCACTCGGTATACTCATCCATGGGCATCCTCCACTTTGACACTGGCATCTTCAACTTCCTCACCTTTGCATCTCCACCCCAATTTCCCCTCCCTCTAAGGGTTCCCCCCGTGTATCGAGGGTGGGAATCCCACCTATCTTCCATGCACCTCCTATGACCCGATCCCCATAGCTTGGTCTGTCCCCCTCCTCCTTCGGTAACCCACTCCCTTTACCCAAAAAGCCTCCCATAGTGGTCGGTCACCCCACCACTTGCACCATAACACCCTTTCTACTGTCCCCTCATCAGAGAACACTATTCTGCCCCTTATCGAAGTCCTAGGCAGATGCTCTTGATAGAAGAAACTCTCCTCTACGAACTCTTCTCGCTCGATCTTATTTCCCTTAGATTTGGCTAAGGGAATCCCTGTTAAATCGTGGTTAGGGTTAGCAATCGGAATTGCTGGGGGAGTTTTGGATTACATCTCAGTGAGCTTTCCACATCATTTCCTCCATCTCTTTAAATCGGTTTTCCATAATTGAAAATCTTTTTTTCATGGTTGAAAACCTCCCTTCCATGGTTGAGAATTTCTCATCCATCATGGATTTGATTTGCTCCATTTCTCCTTCCAACGCATCCACCTTATTTGTTGTCATTGTCTCCAAAAAATCTCGCTTTGTTACCAATTTGATGCATTTTGGAAGTTAAAATAGCAAGGAATTGAGAAGAAAATCATAGGAACAGAAAGAGAGGGGCTGAATTTCTATTTATCGTTCAAAAATAAATGCAATGATAGAACTGATCTACTATTTGAGAAGCAGATCAACTTTCCCACAAACCCTAGCTGCCTCTAGGAGCCCTTAATGAAACCTAGAATAATTTCAGCAAAACAAATATCACCTATCCCTATCCAAGAACCCCATTTAAATAGCTATAACCCTTATTAAATACAATAAAAACCTTTAATTCTTTCTCCATTAGTTTCTCCTCCTTACATAGTGAATATTAACCTCCCTGACCCCACAAAAGGAACCAAAATCCCCTCCCTGATGGCTGACTCCCGCTCTCCCTAGTCCGGCCGGTCTGAGCAGGACTACTGGCTTCCGCGTGGAATTGTTATGTGCGTAACAGATTATAACAGACTAACTTTCAGAAAAATAGAACTTGATGCTATCAAGAATTTCTGTACTTTTCTTTTATTTGAACAATAGTATATTTTGTTTTCTATTTTATTTTCTTCTCTTTTTAGCTATCCAATGATGGGAAAGCATCCAATGATCATGGTAGATTGTGCATAAGACTTGGTAGACCTTTGGTTTGCTGGCTCGATTGGTCCTTGGCTACTGATGGTTCACGGGTTGGTTGTTTTGATGATGCTTCACGGGTTAGTTGTTTGGAGCTTATGGCATTGAGCTCATTCTCTTAAGTTGTTGAGCTGAAGTTTAGTAGCTCATTAATATCCAAAAAGGTACCTCATTAAGAAGAATTACTCTTGGAATGGCCTTGTCCCTTCCTCTTCCCCTTTTCTTCTTGTCTCTTGGAAAACCGTGGCTTGCTCTTTATTGGTGGCTGAATTCAATGCATTAGAATTTATAATAGAGTGCTTTACCCTTGGGAGTCCAGCCGGCCTCTGTTTTTCCGTGCTGGGGTGTTTTTTCCCGTGGCTGCGTTGCTTTGATTTCTCGGCTTGCTTGCTTACCGTGATGTTGGCTCCTTGGTTCCGTGAAATGCTGGGCTGTTTTCCGAAGTTGCATTTGGAAATCCTATGAAAAATAATGCTTGGGATGTTGTGAGCATTATCTAAGGTGGCTTTTGGCATTCCTGTTCTATGCCTATAAATAAGAGAATATGTTGAGAATGAAGGCAGTTGATATTTGTGAGCATATTTGCTATTAACCTGCGGGTTTATTCGGAAATCCTGCGGGCTCTTTCCACCCTTCTTTTCTCATCCCCTACGGAAATCCTGCGGGCTCTTTCCACCCTTTCTTCTTGGGCTTCTAACCTCTTTCGTCTCTCCGCAAGTGTCACTCCATCTGTATCCTTCTTCTCAACAGTGAAGCAATTTTAGGGTGTCGTGTCTTGGTTGATTTGGAAGCATTTGGACAGTCTTGCAGTGGTGGACCATCGGTTTGCTAGTCTTATACACTTCTCTTATTTAATCTACTATTCGATGCATGTGAGGAACCCACTCTGACGGTTGTCTGAGGATAGTTTTTTGTTTTTAATTTTCTTTATTCCTTAAAAAATCTCCTAGTATTTCTTGTCGTGTTTGTCAAGTTTTAGTTGTCCATCTTTATTTTAATAAAGTTTGTTTTAAGTTCTATCCATTGCGTCTGTTTCTTTATTGTGTCTACATCATAACTGGATTGTTGTTCTTAGAAACCTAGGTCTACAAATCGGAACATGTCTCTTATTTCTAGAAATTGGAGAATCTGAACTGGCTGAAGGGAGGCTGTGGTTTTGGTCTTTTCTAAATGCATAGAAATCGTGCAGGTCCTTACCTATTGTTTTGGTTGACAAGAATGAAATCACACCATATGTGGTTGTCCTTTCTTTTTCTTTTAACTAGTCAGCTGGTCTCAGAACAGGCAATGACATTTATGATATATCTGAAGTGGATGGTATACGTTTTTTTTTTTTTTTAATTTCAAGGGTTCAAATCTTGGACATTCACTTTGAGATCAAAGGTATTATCACTAAACCAAGTGATTTGTGGTGACAGTGGACAAACATGGACAAGTTTACTATACTAGTGCTTTTTGACATGGGAAACTCCCCCAACAACTAGGGTTCTGATTTTACTGTGTTGAAGTCCCCCAAACGAAGAATCCTTAAATAAAACTTATCTGGGCTTAATTTTTGTTAATATGGCCTCACCAGCACTGCATTGTTATCTTTAGTAGAGTCCATTTTCAACCAGAACTAGACTCTTTCTAGTTTAGAACAACTGCCGGTAGTGTTATGCTCACTTGCAATAACATCATGAGAACCTGTCATTTCTTAGTTACTTTGGAATCGAAATAAACCTTATAGAAAGTGGGTGTATCTCTACCGAGTTCACATAAAACTTCAGACAAAAAGGGCGACTCCTTGCAATTTGGAATGGATCTATGCCTTCAATGCTAGTGCAAAAGAAACGTTTAATAGATGAAGAAAATGCACAAAGCATAAGCATGGATTTAAGTCCATTGTATAGAAATACGAAAGAGATAATTAGCCTTAACAATTATGAATTCTAACTGATAGATGCTAAGTAGTTCATTTTATCTGAATCCTTGATCATAGCATTGGAAATGCCAGCTCTTGAAAGATCTTTTAGTGCATATCAGTTAACATTGATATTGATTCAGTTGCAACTAATGTTATCAATAAGCGTGCAATGGATGCTCATTAATTTTATTAGTACTTGGAACAAACAGAGATTAGTTTAAAGATTCTAATGGGAAATCATCATTTTGAGACATAATCTAAGTGAATAATATTATCTTCCAGTTCTGAGGAGATTACACAAAACTCCGTTTCCATTGAAAAAGGAATATGGTTTTCCTTTATTTTGATCGGACAACTGAACATAAACATTAATGTTGAGATTCTTATAAAATATGATGCATTCCATGCTATGGGTTTTTTGTGCGAAGTCACTAGCATATCCAGTGTCCTTTTCACTATTTTTCTAGTTGAGTGTTCTCCTCCCGTTTGTGAAAGCCATTATCTCATTTTCATATTTTTTTAAAAGATACCCTGACGATAATTTTCCATTGTCTTGCCCTTCATTTAATCAGTCACACCCTTGCAGATACTTCACTTCTATTTGTTTCTTCTTGTAGGCTGAAGTTAACGTGAAGATAAAGAAAGCATATTGTCCGCCTAAAATCGTGGAGGGTAATCCTTGTTTAGAATATATAAAGTATATAATCTTCCCGTGGTTTCATAAATTTGAAGTTATTCGCCAAGAAGAAAATGGTGGAAACAAGTGAGTCTCAATTCCTCTTTTTTGTTTACTTTTTATAGGTTTTATTATTAATAATTTATTAGTTTTCTTTCTAGAAAAATATATGCTTATGATTTTATAAGTATGCAAATTCCTATGTTTATCAATCTTAAATTTTAACTGAAACTGAATCAGGCATTGTTGCCTTAGGCTGTAGTTGAATGTTTTCAAGCAAGATTATTTATTTATTTTTATTTTGGACATAAAAAGCGATTGCATCTTTTCAGCCGGCTTTGTGATATCTGGGGCTGTTAATGCACTATCCTAGTGGGAAATTAATCTAACTATAATAAGAATAGATCTTAAGAATAGCTCTGTTTCCACTGATTTGATGTCAAGTTCAATTCAAACCAGTATAATTTTATATGAATTAAATGTTGAGTAATGTCAAAAAAAGTGTCCCTAATCTCAACCATTATTTAAGTAGCCATCCTAGGCATGCTTAAGTATTTAATTGAATCAAATGTATAACTGTGTTTAAATGTAAAAAAAAGTGTCCCTAATCTCAACTTGTTTATCTCTTCAATGCTGGTTTATGCTGTAATTTGAAAATACATACCATTAAAAAGGCTAAATATGCAAGATGACTAAAATACATTTGCATATCGTGTATTTGTAGATACTAGATGCATAGTGGCATATCTTTCGTGTCACCAGTTACCCTTTTCCTCTTATCTTTATTTTTATTTTTTTTCCTAACCTCTACATAAAGAAAAATAGTTGCTTTTGGGTTTATAATCCACTAGGCATTTAGTTAGTTTAAAACCCAGATTCACTTTGGGCGGAACTTCAATATTAAAATTTTTATGCAAAATGCCATTTTGGACTTGAACTTAATAGAAGTGAAATTGTTAATTCCATCAAAATAAATGTTTTATCTTTCTCAAAGAAACGATCAATTTGGTTGTGCGAATGGGAGGGGTATAAGAAATATCATGGAAATGTTACACATGCATGCATACTCTATATGAATAAGATCATATGCATGCCCCTATTTATGTGTATATAAGTTGATATACTAACATGCTTATAAGGATAAAGCATAGTTAGATAGGTATGTTTTTGTGTTTGTGTAACTTCAAATGGCTAAAATTCAATCATAACATAAGGAGCTCAACTATTATTTTTTGTGACTTAATACAATACAATACAACATCAAGCCTTTGTCCCACTATGTGGGGTCGGCTATATGAATCATTTTTCTTCATTGTGTCATGTTAAAAGTCAAATTCTCGTTTAAATCTAATAAAGAAAGATCATTTCTAATATTTTCTAACCAAGTCTTTTTAGGTCTACCTCTTCCTTTTTTAACGTAAGTCAAATCTAATACTTCTACTTTCCTAACCGGGTCATCGGAAGGCCGCCGTTTTATGTGACCAAACCATCTAAGGTGACTCTCTTTAATCTTATCTTTCATTGGCGCTACTCCAACCTTTTCACATATATGCTCATTTCGTATCTTATCTCTAAGGGTAAAACCACTCATCCACCTGAGCATCCTCATCTCTGCATCACTCTTAGTATTATGCTTCTCTTTTATTGGCCACCTTAAAGCATTGCAGGCCTTATCACCATCTTATAGAATTTTCCCTTAAGTTTGAGGGGGACTTTTCTATCACACAACAAGCTCGGTGCATTCCTCTACTTCAACCATCCAACTTGAATTCTGCTGATAATATCCCCATCTATTTCACCATCACTTTGAAGAATAGATCTAAGATATCTAAACGTATACTCTTATTAATGACTTGATCGTCCAAAGTCACAATGTCCTCACTAGGTCTATTACTACTAAAATAACACTCCATATATTCAATGTTAGATCTACTCAAGCGAAAACCTTTAGACTCTAAGGTTGACTTATATAATTCAAGTTTACCTTCAACTTGCTATCTAGTCTTATCAACAAAAAGAATATCATAAGCAAAAAGCATACACCAAGGTACATCCTCTTGCAAATGTCTAGTGAGAACATCCATGACTAAAGCAAAAAGATATGGGCTTAAGGCTAATCCTTGATAGGAAAATATTGAGTCAAACCACCTTGTGTTTGAACACTAGTAATAGCTCCTGCATACATATTTTTAATGATTTGATTATAAGCGTTATTAACTCCTTTCTTTTCAAGAACTCTCCATAGCACTTGGAATTTTATCATATGTTTTCTTTGAATCAATAAATATCATACGTTTATCATTCTTATTCTCTTTATATTTCTCCATCAAACCTCTCAATAAATGTATGGCTTCCATAGTAGATCTACCCGGCATGAATCCAATTTGATTTTGAGAAACATTAGTATCACGCCGCAACTTATGCTCCATAACTCGCTCCCATAGTTTTAAAGTATGACACATTAACTTAATTCCTCTATAATTCACACAACCTTGTGCATCACCCTTATTCTTAAAAATAAGAATTAACACGCTCATTTTACACTCATTTGATATCTTTTTAGTATTCAAAACAGTATTAAAATGTTTAGTAAGCCAAAAAATTTCTTTATCTCCTAAGCATTTCCACACCTCTATTAGAATATCATCAGGTCCACAGCTTTTTCACACTTCATTTTCTTTAAAGCCTCTCTAACTTCGGTTTTAATAATATGCCGATAAAAACAAAAATCTTATTTTCATTTAGGGTGTTAAGGTTATTAAAGTCAATCGTATTTTCACATTCTTCAATAAAAAAATTAGCAAAATATCTCATCCATCTTTGTTGAATATCATCTTATAAGAAAAGTATTTTTTTTATCTTCATTTTTAATACATTTCACTTAAACTAAATCCTTATTACTCTTATCTCTTTGTTTGACTAACTTATACATATATCTTTCACCCTCAGTATTTAACTTATTATATAAATCATTAAAAGCTAAGATCTTTGCATCGCATATTGCTTTCTTAGATTCCTTACGTGCATCTTTATATCTTTTCCAATTATTAGAAATTTTACATCTAAACCAATTTTTATAACAAATCTTATTTTTTTTTTAATCTTTTCTTGCACATTTGAATTCCACCACAAACTATTTTTACTATTAAGAGTTTTTCCCTTTGATACTCCAAGCACATCTTTTGTAATATTATTAATTTCACTAGCCACTTTATTTAACATTAGCATCCTCATGTACAGAAAAAATCTTAAATTTAAAATTTTACTCTCAAAAATATTTTTGTTATTATTCTTTAAATGCCCTCATCTAATCCTAGAATATTATTTTACTTTTTTTGTTCCTTTATCTTAAAGTCTAAAACTAATAATTGATGTTGGGTACATAAATTTTCACTCAGAATAATTTTACAATCTTTGCAATATAAACGATCTAATTTTCTTATAAGAAAATAATCAATTTGAGTTTTATTATATCCATTTTTATAAGTGATGAGATGTTCATCTCTTTTCGTAAAAAAGTATTAACAATTAAAAAATCATATGCTAAAGAAAAATTTAATATGGTCTTACCACCTTTATTTGTCATTCCAAACTCATGACCACCATGAATGCTTTTAAAATCATCTGCCTCTCTATCAACATGTCCATTTAAATCTCCTCCAATAAAAACTCTTTCTCCAAGAGGTATCTTTTGTATTAATTCAAGTCATTTCAAAATTTTAATTTTTAACTCATATCCAAACCTACTTAAGGAGCATAAACACTTATAATATTAATAATCTTAACATCAATAACAATCTTTAAAACTATAATTATATTTTCAATTTTATTAATTTTATAACATTATCTTTCAAACTCTTATCTATAATCACACATACTCCATTTTTAGTAAGACTCCTACCCGAATATTATAGTTTAAATCTCAAACTATCAATCTCTTTAGCCTTCTCTCCAGCCCATTTAGTTTCTTGAGTGTTATCTTCCTATGAATCATAGTGTATATTAATTCTATTAATTTTCATGTAAGAGAACCTATATTCCATGTTTCTATCCTAATTTTAGTTTAATGGACTAGCTTCTTTGCCCACATCTGCCCTTGATGTGGGAAACCTTGCTTATTTAACTCTGCATCCGGGCGACAGTACAGCGGCCCTTGCACACTTGTCGTTGTATTTAGGTCATACATCGCTTCCAGAGGACACCCTAACATTAACACAATTTTTTAAAAGATTCATATCATGATTATTTGACAAGTTTTGCATAGGCTGTCGACTATCTAACACAACCCTCCACTTTTTTCTCATCCAGGACTTAGGACTTGGCAACGACAGTGTTTAAAATTATAGTTATACTAAATTTGAGATGAACTTAAGGTGAACTTAGAGGCAATTTGATTGCCAGTGTTTAAAATTACAGGAAATTTTAAATGTAATATTAAGAAAATTCAGTATCTTTAGAATTTAGGTGATTATTTTATTTTGTTTGGTCGGAACTAATAAAAAGAAATCTTGAACATAAAAGAAATTGTTGAATGATACCTCCTCTACACACTCCCAGGTTTCGCCTTTACAACTCTTGGGTCCCTTCTCCACACTATTCAGGCTGTGGGCCCTGCCTTCTTCTTTGAAATGATATGGCACATGGACCGATTGGAATTGGCATGAAAAGTCACCTCATCCCCACCATCCGGTTGAATGGTGATAGTTTTCTTTGTTGGGTCTAATTGGTTTGAATGTACATTAGCGGGTGAAGCAGTATTAGCTATATCACCGGAGACACAAAGAAGCCTGATATGTGGGATCCACCCTATGCCGTGGGATGCGATGAACTCCATGATTAGTCAACTCCATAATTGAGGAGATAGGAACATATTATCTTATGCTATTCCACTGAAAAAGATTTGTGGGATAATGTCTCACAAATGTACTTTGACTTGAGGAATCAATACCAAATGTATGAGTTAACCATGTGACTTGGAGAAATTTGCCATGGTGAGGATTCTATGATAAGGTATTTATGGTCTCTTAAAAATATTTGACGAGGCTTGTACTTGTTTAATGATTATGAGTGGAAGTCATCCAAATATT